ATGAACAATAATTCTAAACAATAACATCATATAAGAAAAGTGCATTTTGTCCTGAGAGCTGCATTATTAATGTTGTTGCATAATGACATTTTGAACACGCACTGTGTTGTCCTGTATACTCATATTAGCCTAATCCACAGACTTGACTGTGAACAGTTTTCAGAGAGACTATTTCTAATTTCTACTATTTATTCTTTTGTGAGCAGCCATCTCTGTGGCTTATCGCAAAATCTCAGCAGATAAAACTGAAATGATCTGCATGGATTGGGGGTTAAATGTGAAAATATGTCTATGTAATTTGGGTGAACTTTAAAGTAAGAGAATCAAAAATAAGAGAAAGGGTTAACATTTTGGAATATGTTTTTATGTTTTGTTCATTTTTCCTAGAATTATTAAAAATAATTTCCATGTCCATAAAATCTGATAATTTGAATTTTATCAAATATAAGCCAAATATCCTATAGGGTTACATTGTTACGTTGACAAATATCTATTATGTAATATATGGTAGTAGGCCTAGTGGTACTGGTAGTACTGCTTGTGTTCAGTAATTGCTATTGGAATCACAAGATCAGTATCCTTGCAGAACCTGAATTCATCCTCAGACAGAATACAGACAGACAGCATTGTGTGGATGACTTAAACCGATGAGACAAATCAGGAGAAATCTAATTTTCCAACAGTCATACCGCGAGGCAGTGCATTCCCATGGCAACCAGCAACAAAAAATGTCAAGCTTTAGTTTTATGGGGGGGGGAGGGTAACTGCTTTCACGTGCGAGCAGATGAGTTTAGTTATCAGTCATTACCAGAGTGTGTATGGATATTGAGTACAGGGGGTATTGTCTCACATGGAAGTAAAATCTGGATGCATTCCATTGCATCCAGATTAAAACACAAAGAGACCTGTGTTAGACTCAGCAGTACCTTTACCATAAATTAGATAATTCATTTATTGGTTCCACTAATGTGAGAAAGGTTGGACATCATGTGAAGGGAATATACAGTAAAGGGCAATGAGCAGGGGCACGTGTTGTGTGATATATTGCTCCTATATTGCAATAGTGCTGATATATTGCATTATGCCAGTTTTGTGTGTGTGTGTGTATATGCATGTCAGTGTGTGTCTGTCCTGAGATGTAGGTTGTGAGCACACTAGCAGCTCTATGAGGCATTATGTAGGCACAGTAATGCTTTGAGGTAAATGCTAAATCCACATGCTAACAACGACAATGCTAAAATGTGATGTTTAACAGGTAATTTTCACCATTTTCATTACATTAGTTACTTAGTTTAGCATGTAAGCATGCTAACATTTGCTAACACGCACTAAACACAAAGCACAGTTGAAGCTGATGGGAATAATAATTAGTTTTGCAGGTATTTGATCACAGTCCAAAAAGTATTTTTGACCAGATGATGGCGCTAAATAAAAGGTTTATGGATCACCAAAGTTGTTACAATTTATCCTGTGGGGATCATGAATGTCTTTCATGGCAATATCCTATATTTGTTTAATCATTTTGCACAAATTGTCAACCTCATGCTGGCACCAGAGAAAATGTCAGGAGATCACTAAAGTCATTAGCAGTCATACTTCAGTCCCACTACGTTAATAGACCAGCTGATAGACCGACATTGCCATCCTAAGGGCCACACTAGCAATATAGATTCTGAGCTTTATGCTGTAAAAACAAAGGTCAGTAAAGACTTTTTTTTTCACTCACACTCATGTACATTATGTGTTCTCTGTAGAGTCATAGCTACATAAATGTGGGCAAAGCTGAATGTATTGGTTTTTGAACAAAGCATAAATTAAGACCTGACCGGTTTTTCTGTTGAATATAATGTAACAAAGATACAGGAAATGTGTCCCATTATTTATCCTGGATGTGAACTGGAACAGTGTCCAGTGAGTCTATGGCCCTCTCTGTTGCTGGAAAAGAATAATGGGAAATTAAATCTGAAACACGGTGGGTGGGGAGTATTGATGCTGTGGGGACTGCTTCAGTGCATCTGGAACTGGAATCTCGTCAAAGGTGGAAGGAAGTCATAAGTATACGAAGCGATATGTGAAGACTCTTGAAAGAAAACACCTCAAAGCAGTCAGCAGAAACTGGGTCTGGGGTCATCGCGTTGTCCAACACGAAACGACCCAGAAACATATGCTGAGGCTCCTGTGAAGCACCTATCCTCAGAAGACCCAAACACACAAAGTCGACACCATCTTATTGACTGGCCTGCAAAAAGCCTGACTTGAATCTCACAATTTGAAAATCTGTGGTGGTCCAACTGAAGAACGCCAAGGGTCCCATGCCAATAAGGCCATTCAACATCTTGGACGCGCAGCATTGCAGCAGATATGCCCAAAGAACAATCTGGTATGCCAAAGAAGTTGTGTGTGGTTATGTGTGTGGGTATCTGTTGCAGGCTGTATCTGATAAGACATGAGCATCAGGCAATAATTGGAATATCGGGTGTCATCAAATTGCAAAGAATCTTCCAGCATCACCAACCAATTAATGAAACTGTGTATGTTATTGAAGAAACATGAAGCTAAGTTTTGTAGTAGAAAATATTATCTATTGCTATTTAACTATTTAGCCACTATATGTGATTAATAACTATTTAATAAAAAAAGTCAATTATCAGGAGGGCGTGTGATATAGACATGTGGGGCGTAACTCCACATTTCGTCCTTCGATGTGATACACGAGGAACTGAAAGTACAATCTTGCTGCAGCGGCACAGTAGAGTTTAATCGCAAAGTAACACGTACCTACGGGCCCAATTGTACTCGCGACATATTGAAATAAAACTTATATATTGAACATGGTTTACTTTTTATGTATTATAATTGTCCATACAACAGGTACAAAAGTGACTGAAATAAAGCTATTACAATGTAATTTAATCTATTAGTATTTTTAATGAAGTTACATAACTGAATGTCTGTCTGGTATAATTAGTATTTCCTTTTTGTTTTTAAACTCTAATTTTAGTGAAATATTTCCAAATAGTAATTTATTTTTTGTTTTACCCAACATCTGCACTAACAGTTGCAACTAATCCTGTCATTCCAAACATAGTATTAAAGATCACTGGCAATAGTACTTTCGAGCTCGTGTCACTATCGATTATACAAGGGCAATGTATATTTAAAAAAAGAGCACCAAAT